AGCATTTTTATCTGTGTATCTAAATCATTTGTAAGCATTTCTATAGGTGTTTTTAAAGGAATAAGTGACTGGAATAAAATACCATCATAAGAGTTTGTGAAAAGTCAAGAAGGTGATTTATACTTACTTCGTAAGATCTGATAACTTATGTATCAGTTTTCAATCATTAAAATACACCAATCTCAATGCAAAAGTTAACAGGATAGGAAACATAACAAGGACTCACTCTATACACCTGTCTAATAAGAATAATCTTATAATAACTTCATAGTAACCTTAGTATACCTAGAATATTCACTTAGAATATATTGTTAGTGTAATTCAATAATTTTCGTGGTGTCTAGACCCATATAATTATTTAGATATTGTTGAATAAACCGTATATGTTTGTTGAAACTGGCTCAAAAAAAAAATTCATTTAATCTTGCCTACTCCTACCTGTCAATTTATTGACTGGCGCCTGAAGTCTGCCAGATTATTAAAAGAACTATAAAATATTTTTTATAAGATTTCTGAAAAATATATAAAAAATATATATCGAGGTAAGTTTGGTCAAGATAACCTGTCAGAGAGCTGTCAGAGAGCTGAACCCTGAATTGCTGAGCTAGTGGGGTTACAACTATCCTTCGCAGAAGCTGTAGATAGAAGAGGTGATAACTCTCAACAGGTCATTGATATGAAAAGTAACCATGTTGCTGCAAAAGGGATTCTTGAGGAACACCGGCATTGACAATTATAATAGTATCGAACGATACTCCATCCACCACCACAAGAGCTTTATTTGAAGAGAAACTCAAAAGAAAAAGGCATTGGTGAATTTATAAGTAATATGGTCAAACCCATCCAACGTCACAGATTCTTCATGCTGTTCCATGAAAGTGCCACATAATATGACGCAGGATTCAAGTAAATACCCAGTTGATCTTCGAATTGGGAAGCCATATTATCATGATCATCACATAATATGAGTCCTAAGCGTTCCAGGTGTTTGATAAGCTAAATTTTATGAGGACAACCTCCATCACTTTTGAATAACACAACAACAGCTTTGTTGAAAAATTACTGTTTTCTAACTAATTTGTACGAAAAAATAACTTTCGTAATTGCGTCAGGACCGTTAGGCTTATGTAGGTATTCTGAGACCAATCAAAATGCATCTCATACAGTGCATTGGTCAAAGACGATTCCAGAAATTTGAACAGATGGAATATCAGCGAAAAAATGTTTTTTTTTGTGCCGTCGTATTTGGTGAGTGATGGAAATTGCTTCCGACTGTTTTGGCGAGGAATAGGAACAAGCAAGAGCCATTGGGACTTTAATTAAGCATTATAATATGATTATTTTGTTGCATCATTCCTGGCCTCAACATGATTGGGAGCTATGAGTTTTTGTGCCAGCGATGATATACTGTTTGTCTCAAAAACATCAATTCTCCTTGAACTAGTGTTTGGTTGTTGCTGATGTTCGATGATAATCTCTGCAGCACACTATTATATTATTACATAATATGTGTGGAGGTACTGACTATTCGTGGAGATAAGTGATGTGATGGCCGAACTGCCCATTGTTGTTATAGTACATCCATTGAGTATATGGTGCAAAATTGACTGTGAGGAATAATTGGTAGAATTTAAGCCGATACAGGCAGGTTCCATTAGCATTCATGAGGTTATTGCTCTAGTGTATACTGAAGGACAAATGACTTCATAATGAACCATGTTGAGATTTTGGTATATACTGAGGCAATGATAACCTCAACTCCAGATTATTGAATACTTTAGATAAGATGTCGAGAGCTACCCTTCCAATGTAACAACTATGAACTTTTTTATAAAATAAGAATCGCTCGTTGTACCGACCACAATTTCCACAAGCAATGGCTGCTGTTTCATAACCACAGCCGATCTAGTCTACAAGGCCACCAAGCTACCAGAAAACAGCGAGATTATTCTCGACGATTCCCAGGAGGTGTTCGCTACGGATCTAGATAGCAATAATCTTAGTTGGAAAATTGTGTGATGGGATCGACTACTTCAGCCTCATCTACTAAGCCCAGTCCTAGGAGAAGAAGAAGACTATACATGAGAAGAGTATGCTAAAACTGGCCGTATCTGTGCTTTGTTGATCATGAGAAGCTGTTGAGGTGTGAAGTAGATTTTCGCACGGTACAAGAATCCGATTTTTGTGAAGCAGCTTTTGCGATGGATCGGACATGATTTTTTCATGAGAGAGTATTGCTGATGATAATACTGAGACTGAGCATAGATATATAGTATTCTTGGTGAGAATGAGGGTACCAGACATTGTTATATATGGCAAAGTGAGTTCCGCGTTTCTAGTGAAAATACAGGATTGAGTTTTGGTGGCGTTGACTTCAACTATAGGTAGTTGGTTCCCCATACTGTAATTTCCGCAAAATCTTCATTGACAGCGCCGGCCTGCCCTCATCGTAAGTTCTTAGTTTCCTGGGAAGGAATGGGAATTCTAGAAGAGAACGCAGTATGGAGAGTTCTATCGTCTGCAAAGCTGTGGATAGAGAAAGTAGTTGCTGCAAATAGATCGTTAATATGAAGTAGGAACAATGTTGATGGCAATCGTATCAGACGATTCTCCGTCCACCACTACATGGAGCGATCTGCCTGAGAGAAATCATGATAGAAGATGGATTAGCTGAGGTGGTAAGCCATATTATGTGTGGAGCAGTACTTGGTGCCAAACAGATTATACTAAATGATCGAGTGACTTGAACAGCTCTAGTCAATGCAGTTTTCATTTCCAGTCCTTGTTTTTTTCTGAATATGATCTTGTACTGAAACTGCTTTGTTTGGATGATTGCATTAGAAATCCCATGTGATAATAATTTCAAATCATACTTTGATGGCTACGAAGATGCTTGTATATAAGTTCGTTCTATACAATGTTATCTAGTAATGAGTCTGAAACTATACACATATGGTAGCTTTGTTGATCTTTTGATCATTTTTTATTGTTTTGGAACGCATGAAAGGTAATTCCTTCATGTTCGTGAAACATCGATCGTATCTAGGGAGATAGAGAGAGAAGGTACAACTCTCTTTGACTCTCTGAGGTTAGAAGTTGTTGGGAATATTTTATTTTCCAAAGAACTCCAAACCGCTCCATAGACAAACGAGTTCTAGTAAAGAATCGCTCGACGTATCTAGATCTAGAGGTTAACGATGAAAGGATGTGCTGACTTGAGCTTGTCGATTTCGCCTGGCTGGCAGTGATGGAATTATAGGAGGAACATTTACTGTGGAAGTGCCTATAAAAAAGTGAAAGATCGATGACTCATCTCCGGTGTTCCAATGATGTCAAGGAATTAGTGTGATATCATACCTACCATTCGGCATGTCTCTGGAAGGAATCTAAGAGCATCAGCGTAAGTGTGGGTGCTGAACACATTTGTGAAAACAGTATTCTGGAATGGGTCGTATAAGCGTTTTGTATATCATAAGAAGCTGTTGAGGTATAAAGTAGCTCTTTGTTTGGAATTAATATTCGAGTTTTTGTGAAGCAGCTTTCGCGATGGAACTAACATGGTTTTCCCATAAAAGAGTATTACTGATGGAAATAGTGACACCAGAAATTGTTATATATCAGCCACACTGAGTTCGGCTATTTTAGAGAAAATACAGGTTTAAGTTTTGGTGGCTTTGAAGATCTATGTTGACAACGTGAACTACTTTCGTCGTGAATTCTCAGCTTTTTGTAGTAACATGGGCATTCAAGGAGAGTATTGTGGACGAAGCTGTGCAATGGGTGGGGGGTCACTTTCAACAGATCATTGATATGGAGTAGGAACAATGTTCGTACCAAAATTGATCTTTGTGATGGAATTGTCGAACTCTATAATGGAAGGCTGAGCTAACCAGTATATACTGGTAGTTTTTGGAGAAGTTCTTGGTGCCGAACAAGATTGATACTTTTGATATATCTAACGCCACAGCTACAGATTTTTGATTTATCATGTTTTTCTTATGAAGCTTGCCACATAAATGGGTACCGCAGGCAAGTGAATCCCCAGTTGATCTTCGATAACGCGAATCATATTGTCTATCATTGACGATCCCAAAGCTTTCCCTATCACTTTGGAAATGTCCGATAACAGCGTCATTGGCCTATAGTTGCTAGGCAGATTTTTCTTTTCCTGTTCGGAGTGAGAAAACCAATAAAGACAACAGAAGAAGAAGAAGAAGAGATTGGTTGGATTCTTGGTATTTTTCAGCTGTGTTGTTTCATTATTGATGATAATATTTGGCAGGTCTCTGAACAGGAATTTCTATATGTAACGAAGTGATCATTCTCGTAAAATATAATGCGACCCTTTCCATCGAACAAGATCATGGATTTCAATTTCAGGTTCGGCTCGAAGGTAGCCTAGGGGGAATTCGGGGACGAGAAACTCAAGAAAGGGACACACTACACGTTCTGCTCGCATAAAATAAAATCAATCGCCGAGTCACGTGCTTTCTAACGTTTTAGGTTTGTGATATTTTACTTTGGCAGTCCCGAGACTCGTTATTATTCAGGAAACGTTCTCTTCGACTCTCTCCTTGGAGTCATTCGACATCAACCGACGTTGTTTGGCGAATCCGTCATTCGGGGGTTGGGTTGGTGGTTGGTGATGGTTGATGGGGGTGGATAGTCGAAAGTTCAAGCTATCCAGAAAAAATCAAAATCAGCTGACTTGCAGCAAGAGATCAATGTTATAATAATAATAATGATAATAATAAATATACTTTATTGTCATGAAAGAATTTCTTCTTGTCGACAAAGCATGAAGTCAGTAAAGAGTATATATAAAATAAATATAAAACAACTATAATATCAAAATCACAATACTAAAACATCAAATAAATTTTTTTTTGTCGAAATATGAAAATACTAACATACATAAGTATAAAAACAATCACAATCATGAAGTAGTAGTGAATGAAGTAATCACAAGAATTCTAATCAGCATACCCATATATTAGATATCAGATCGTGTCATCGTAGAATTCTTTGAGGCTGTAATATGGTCTGAGCTTCAGCAGTTCTTTGACAGTTTTCCTGAATATTTCAATATCTATTAATGCACCCCTAACATGGTTTGGCAAGTTGGTTATACATTTCAACACCATTACCAACACCAAGGAATCTCTCACTAAAGACGTGCTGGGTATCGGCAATTTCAAACTATTAATGCTGTGGCGTGTGGAATAATTGGACTGAGCTCTGTCAAATTTGGTGAAGTGTTTCCTCACCAAGCATACGGTCTCTAATATAAACAAAGATATCACTGTCAAAATTTTATTTTCTTTGAACAATGGCCGACATGAGTCGCGAGGTTTGGCTTTGTAAATATATCGAATTGCTCTTTTTTGAAGCACCTGCACAGTTTCAAGTAGGTCTAGGTTACACACTCCCCAGAAAGGTATCCCATACCTTAAATGTGACTCAATTAAGTAATAATATGCTGTTTTAGCAGTCTGGGATCCAAACTCTTTTGAAATTACCCTCACTGCGTAGCATCCAGAGGATATTGAGCTGCTCGACATGCCTATATCAAATTTTAATTTTTTTGTCTATGACGACTCCCAAGAATTTGGTACAGTCTGTATTTTCAATGATTCCGTTATCAAGGGGAAAATTATCGAGTGAGCATCTGAAAGTAACTATATTTGTTTTATATATATTGAAAGATAGAAGATTCGAGTCACACCATAACTTGATCTTTTTTACATCGACAGATATGTTATTCTTCAGATCTTCTCCTATTTTACTGTGCCAAAAAATCGTGGTATCATCTGCGAAGAGTGTTACTTTACCAGTCAAGTCAATATTTGTGAGATCATTAACATATATCAAAAAAAAGTATGGGACCCAATACAGATCTTTGAGGCACTCCAGAATTGATCTCAATTTGCTTCGAGTATTCATTTGTATTTGATTTTACTGTTTGTCTTCGACCTATGAGATATGATTTGAACCATTGCAGAGTCACTCCTTCACATCCATAGTGATGTAGATGTTCAAAGTCATGTGGCCCGTCCAAAGAAGAGAATAGGATATAATATTTAAGATGACTCAGATGATACAAATACAGAGCCGTAGCTAAAGGGGAAAGAGAAACAACAACCTTGAAATATCCATGCTCAACCTGCAAAGATAGATCTATAGATGAACAGAAAGACAATTTATTAATAAAATATGCATGCCACCAAAACTGGAGCATGTATATTCTCCAAGAAAGCCGAAGTCAGCATAATTGACATTATAATGTTTGACACCATCATTTCCATGAACATGATGGAATGTTGTTTTCGAAAAATTACATTTCTGATAATGGTCGATTTAATTGATTTTGGTCTTGTTTGCAAGAGAATTGAACAAGACAAAACGTTAACTTTATATTTTTTTGAGTTTCTCATGGAACAAAATGGCGGACACACTGAAACTTGTCCGAGTTTGAGAACTTGCTGTTCTCATGTATAGGGTTCAGCACCCAAACGTATACTGTTGTGCGTGCGTCGAAATTCATGGATCTCATTAGAACAGCGTGGAAAAGTCGGCAACCTTTCACTTTTCAATAGATACTTCCACGGAGAATGTTCCTCAGAAATCTCTGCTATAATTCCATCATCAGCAATAGGTACCAGTCAGACGAACCCGACAGGTCAAGTCAGCACAATCTTTCGTCGTCAAGCTTAAAACATGTCAAACAACACTCTACCAATACTCGTTCGTCTATAGAACGGTGAAGCTTTAGAATTTCGTCTGTTTTTCGGAAAATAAACTTTTAGGAAGATGTTTAATTTACACTAGTAAGGTTACAATGTTTAAAAAAATTAGTCTCCTTCCTCATGGAGAAGGAATATTTTCCTTCCTCTCCCTGAAAATAGTACTGGGTGGCACTTTCTGTTCAGGCCGATATAGTGATTCGCTATTTCAATGATGTTTTTTTCAGGAGCTAAGCTCCTGGCCAGAAATTTTCAGTGGAATTGATTTCCCGCCAATTAGGTTTATTGGTTATTATTCACTATGATGTGAAAACATTCGTTATTCGAATTTATCGCCAATATCAGGAATTAGAATTTACCGTTTTTGCCCGAATCGCTCTGATTATGGTCTCCTTTACCACCCTATATACATAATGTTTGGGCAGAATGGATTCATGCGATTATGAGAGTATGGATTTTTCTGAAGGCAACAAGCGGTCGAACATGCAAATCCGTCAAACAATAACTGACATATTAACAGGATAAAACAGGTGTGCATCTTTTCACATCTGGATTCCGATTTTCTTGCTTTTTTTGGCATTTTCTGTTAGAAAAATTGCATAAAATCTTATGAAAGAATGATTAGCGTAAAAAATGGAAAATTAATATAAACAAGGAAGAAACTTTTGAGAAGATGAAATATCCATATGGTCCTCATGAGCCTCAACTTCTTCTTCTTCTTCTTTGAATCCTGATGGCATCCGAATCATTCCACAGGAAATAGTCGCCCGGCAGAAAAACTTTCCTACTATCTTCAAAAAACGGATCAAGATTTTCTCTCTCTTTATTGGCTAAAGTTCTTTTATTTCTGAAATTTCTTCAAAATACGTTTTAAGGTTCACATCATACAATATGCCGAATGATTGTAAGAATCTACAGAAAGATATTTTCCGAGGTTCATGCTCTTCTTCGCTCCATAAAGTTTTTTGTGGTGCGCCATATTGGAAGATTTCGAAATACGAAATGAGTTCTTCGTTTTATTCTGCGACCTTTATCGATGAAAAATATCATTTTTTATAATTCGCTTGGTATAATTTATTTTTTTAACAAAAGGAAGGAACCCATTATCACAATGAAATCAATAAGAAGCGCTACATATTTAATTCGTGATCTCAGCATTCTCAGCAATTACAAGTTTCCAAACTTTACCTACCTGCAGAATGAAAAACCTAACGAACCTTGAATTTTAAAAAGGTTGCTGGAGGATGAATATGAATCTTGAAATTTCAACCCTCTATAGATTGGGAACGAAGCGTTTGCCAGACACATATATTCATAGGAAAGAAGTCTTATGAGTTCCTGAAATCTTGATACTGAATTTTGAAACACTCTGTATAGATACTTCCATGGAAAGTATTCTTCGTGAATATCATTCCATCACTAACAATACCAGTCAGAAATAGATCTAAATTTAGATCTATATGTCTCAACTTCCATATTTGTCTAGCAACTTCCTACCAGAACTCGTTCGTCCACAAACGGCAAATCTTTAGAATTCTTATCATACATGGGAAAACAAGATTTTTTGTTGTTGAATTGAATACATCAGTGCAAAATCACCAAAATATGTATTAATTTCAAATGAGTCACTTATTAAGAAAAATTATTCATTCGAGATATTTGCTAACTCAAACGAAACTTTTATTCAGTCAACAGAATTTATCGTTGCTGCTGTGAAACAGATTGTGTTGATTCAACATTCATTCCAGTCAATCATTATCTGGATTTTGTCTCTTTGACAAAATAAGATTATTTTTGTCAAAAAGTCAGCATAGGACTATACATCAATTTTGTCGATTCAATTATTAGTTCATTGTACAAGCAATCGTATGAATGTTGTCTATCAGACAAAACTGAATTCATTTTGACAAAAATATATCGTAGGTAACTCAAAATTTTTCATTTGAACACAAACACTACCATACTAGATACAGAATCCACAAATAAATACGTATCTTTCTAATATACCTCGAAAAACAATGTCAACTATAGTTTATCAATTCAATATGTCTTTCCTACAAGTAATAGTAGGTACTCCCATCGGGCTATACTTGCTGATATTCATATCTAATCTATAATATAGTACTAGCATTTTGATAACATTTCGAGATCTTCTTTAATATCCCACGTAAACACCCCTGGCGGTGGATGCCGCGACGGGGCCTTCTGAGAAGTTTTTTTTAAGTTCTGATTCCCACGAAAAGGAATATCCAGTAATGTTCAGAGAACATCGTGAGAACCAAGGAAAATAAGGTGGGAATTGGTGTTCTTCTTAAATTTCTGGAGGTTATATGCCTCGGGGAACACCTCCCTTGGCAATGTGTTCCATTATTGCTAATAGTAAAACCAAGCATCGAAATGGATGTCTTCAAAGGTATGGTTACTCCTGGCAAGCTTAGGTACAGCGGCTCGAGTCTATTTCAGAAAAGGAAGTCTCGTAACAATATATCATGCGATGAAGTTGTTGTCACAATGAGAAAGATCTAATTCACTCAAAGGCGTCTGCGTTTGAACCCAAAACGAGTTCACGACGCATTTTTATAACGTGCAACAAAGCTTACTCTTCCCACTGGTAAACATTGAGAAGACTGTAAAAGAGAGTTTATAATGACTATACAACTCGAGGTCTATAGAAATCCGGCGAAAAACGAATCATTTTGAATTTATTTATATCCAGATCGAAACATCAAATAGGGAAAATAACGTATTTGAAGAAAATTTAGTTACGGCATAAAGCTTGTATACGACAGCTCCATACTTGAACCACTCCACACCTTGAAATACGCCATTTTATTCCAGATCCGATTTGATCGGAAACATAATTTATTTCTGTATATGGGATTGATATGATGCATGGAAATATTGAAGCTATATGAAAGGCGTTAAAAACGTTATTTATATCTTTGTATGATACGTTCAGTTCAACTGTTTCTGAATATGACAAGTTTATATCGATTCATTGAAGCACAAAAATTTCAATGAATTTTAAAATGAATAAAAAAATTTCAAAATACGGTATATGTTCCACAGAAAACAACTATTTTCCTGGCTATATCCATTTTCTTACATGTTCATAATATATCTATCTAAGTATATTCCTTTATAATACTTTCATATAGGTACCCAATCATCAAGGGGTTTAAACTTGAACGATGAAAACAAAAAATTACAATTACACAGCAGGGTCAATCGTTGATTAATAATAAATAATATCTGTGGTAAAAGTCCATGGTATCTCAAAGTGGAGTTTATGGATGAAACCCAGTCGACAGGGAGATTTACTACTATATATACTTTTTCAATAACAAATACTTTATCAAACTGGAAAAATCAATAAAATATATTGATAAACCCAACAGAGGAACTATTTCAATATTACATGAAT